GGATAATTTGATTATTCCCACTATAGGCCAACTGCCTCAGCGGCCTTCCCCCACGCGTCTGGCTGGGGGCAGAGAAACCATCTCCAAGGAATAATCAAATCAAGGCGACGTGTGGAAAAACCCCTTCTGATTTCCAGGAGACACAAATAGAATTAGAGCCTTCCATTTGCTTCACCCCCTCTTTTTTTTTTTTTTTTCCTCCCTTCCAGAAGAGCCTTTTTGTTTCGGTGGCAAACTCTGGCCCAAGCGGGCAGAGTGGTGTGCACGGGATGCGCGGTGTGTGCGGCGGCGGGAGGCGCGGCGGGGTAGGGTGATGGAGTAAAACAGGCCGAGTATGTAAAAGCCACTTTTCTTTCCTCTCTTTCGACACTGAGAGGAGCCCGGTCCGCTCCCCTCAGGCTGCGGGAGGAATGCTCGGAGGCAGCGGAACAAAACGGGGAACAGCGCGCCTTTGTGCGGCCGCCGCCGGCCATGGGAAAGCGCCTCTCGGGCCCCGCTCCGATTGCGCTGCGACGCTCCCATCCCCCGGAATAAAATGTTACATACTGGTGAAGATTTCTTTGACATCGCTTTATTCAGAGGGACCGGCCAGAGCGTCCCACTCCACAGCGGCCGGTCCCCTGAGGTGCGGGCCTCCGCAGGTCGGGGCGCACAGTGCAGCGCGCCTGCGGGGCCCGGGCCGTCACTGCCCCCGCAGCCGCAGCGGGTGACAGGACCGAAGGGGCCGGTGACACGTGTTGGCTGTCCCCCGGTCACAGCGCGTGCAGGACATGCTCCTGCTCCCGCCGCGTCCGGGACTCTACCTCCCACGCCCGAGAGAAAAAAAATCACACTTTTTGTTGTCCCTGCTGCTCCGCTCCCGCTGGCTGCGCTGGCTGCCCTCCGCGGCCCTACTCGGCCGCTCTCCCTCCCCGCGTCTCTCCGCGCTAGCTCAGGATGCCAGGTGACTGGATGCGCTCTTGGCTGGTCTTCTACTGTCTAATCAGTTGAGATGGGGGATTTGCAATAGTAATGATGATGGTGATGAAGAAGGAGGACTATTACTAGTACTACTACTACTACTACTAATAATAATAATAATCATCCTTTTTTAGTTGCTCCATCCCTCTCCTGGCTGCGCGGCCGTGGCTTTCGGGAGGCGGCCAGTAGAGGGATCTGAGCTTTGCTTTTCCCCCCGGTCGCGGCTGCCGCGGCGGCGGCGGCAACATCTGCTGGGCTGGAGGAGACAGGGCGATTGAGCAGACACACAGATGTAAAAGTGACATCTGCTTGTGACAAAGGAACGGGAATTAGATTAGGCGGGGAGGCCTTTCTGCGATTAGGAGGGAAAAAAAAAAAAAGAAAAAGAAAAAAAAGGAAAGGAAAATACTATCTCTTCAGACTATTTGAGCAGGGGAAGAGGCTGTGAAAGGCAGAAATGCTCGCTGGGCAGCTGCTAGGACAGCCGGGGCAGCACAAGGGTCCTGGGAGCTGAAATAGCCCTGAGAGAAGGCTTTGCTTTTCCCTCTAGAAGCAGAAATGTGGCCGGGTCAAAGCTTTCCATCATTATGAGCAAAGGACAGCAAGCAGCATGGCGCTGCGGAGACTCGGGCACCAGCAGAGATGCCCTCCTGCAGCTCCTGACCACGTTGCTGGCACTGGATAGGCAGAGAGACCCAGATCTGGACACTTCTGTTCTTTGTTCACTGATGGAGGTTCGTATACTCAAAAATAAGGAGGCAGGAGGCCTGACTGTTGCTTGCCTTATGAACTGTCCAATTTTGGTTCCATTAATTAAAAAAAAACAAACAAGCAAACACAACCAAACCACAACCACAAGTTTAAGTTTAGGCACATTTGGTAAAGCAAAAACACACCCAGCAGAGACTTTACCTGCACCAACCTGCACTGCTTAGACAGAAGAAAAACACTCCCACATTTCAAATGATGTAGTCTGTTCTGCAAGCAGTATAACTTTTCACAGTTATATTAATACTGATATTGAATATCATTGAATATCATGTCTTTTTTTTTAAGCTCCAGCACTTTTATATCTGGGAATACTTGGTGCTCTTACAGAGAAACACACGGGAGAAATAGTAGGACTGAATAATATTTCAAATGGTAGAAAAATATGCTGTATTGCAAAAATAGCAAGTTACAGCATGTGGTGTGCTGTGCACTGGGGCAGATTTAGTAATGCCTCTTATTGGGTCTTGCCTCTAAACTTGATGAAGTTGG